TAGTTCGGGTGTCGATGTAACCCAATTCTGAATCAACATTTTGCATTTCGAGGGAGAGAATCGCATCCCGAACATGCTTGCATTGTTGCTTAGAGTGGTCAGAAGACTCTGCATTTTGTCAGCGTCTTCACCAAATAAAACTATGTCATCAGCATATTCTAAGTCAACAAGTGAACCTCCTGGTAGAAGTTCAACCCCTGTATATTTAGATGAGGAGAGTGTTATCTCTAAAAGTACGTCAGTGACAAAGTTGAACAAGAATGGGGAGAGTGGACAGCCCTGACGAACACCACTTGAGGTGATCAATTCTGATGACAGTTCGCCATAAGCTCTCACTCTACCAGTTGTGTTCAAGTAGAGAGCCTTTATAAGGTTAATGTACTTCTTTGGTACTCCTTTCAGTGACAAACACTGCCATAGAACCTCACGATCAATAGAGTCGAATGCCGCCTTAAGGTCGAGAAATACTACCATTATGGGGCGTCTGAATGTGTGTCTGTGTTCTAGAACCTGACGTAGTGTGAATATCTGATCTATACAACCACGTCCAGGTCGAAAACCAGCCTGGTTTTCTCTAGTCTGCTCTTCACGAGCTTTAGTTAGGCGTCGAAGTATTATTGAGGCTAATATTTTAGACACTATATTAGTCAAACTGATTCCTCTGTGATTGTCACAAGAGGACTTTTGTCCTTTCTTATAGACTGGCACAATCAGTGATTGAGACCAGTCAGATGGGATTACGTCCAGTTCCCAAATTCTACCTAAGACCTCGGTTAATCTCATTGCTAATACTGGACCACCATCCTTAAAAATCTCAGGAGTAAACCTGTCAGGGCCTGCTGCTCTCCCTCGTTTCAGATTTCCTATGGCTTTTTCAACTTCGTAAAGGGACGGAGGACTTACATTAACTTGCCATTCAGGTTGACTGGAGATCGTGGGAAACCGTAGTGTGGCTGAAGGCCAGTTGAACTGATCCCTAAAGTGTTCTGCCCATCGATCCAATCTCCTGGATTGAGAATGAATAATATGTCCATCTTTCTCTGAGATTGTTTCGCTAACGGTCGGGTTCCTAATTCCGGTTTCCTTAACGAGTCTAAACAGTTGTCTGCTATTACCTATTGCCGCTGCCTTTTCCATCTCTCTTGCTTTCGCTACCCACCACTGTTCGCGATCATTGCGTAGACTTCTTGTCAGTTTGCGCTTAAGCTGACTCCGCTCTACATTATGTTCAGTGCCAGGTGGAATGTGTTTCCGAGCATTTATCAGTGAGATAGATGCTGCTGAGATCCAGTGTTGCTCCCTAACCTTCTGGTTTACCTTACTAGCAGATATCACTGCTGTTTCCACAGCTTTTCGGATATCATTCCATGCTGCATCGGGTTGGGCATCACATACATGGCTGCCTAACTGTTTTCCCAGTTGTTCCTGAAATATACTCTTAGCTTGACTATCATTAAGTAGGGCCCTAAGAGGTTTCCTTGCAGGATCTTTCCTACGTCCAGTAAGACGCAAGCAAATACGCGCTCGCACTAGAGCATGATCTGAATCTAGGCATGTGCTCCAGAATGAGCGACAGTCTTCTATCGAGCCCCTCCATCGGTGGCTGATAGCGATGTGATCTATTTGGGTCCAACGTTGGGACGAATTAGGGGGTCTCCATGTTAAAAGATGTTTTTCCTTATGCCTAAAGTTAGTATTTGCAAGAAACAGGCGGTTATCTGAGCATAGATGCAACAGACGGTCGCCATTATCTGTTCTTTGAGCCACGACACCATAGGATCCACCTAGGTGTCTTTCCTTATCGCTTAGCTTACCTATTTGAGCATTAAAGTCACCGGCCACTATTGCTACATCCGAGCGCTTAGCTTTCCGGAGAAGGTCCGAAAGCTTTCTGTAAAACTCATCTTTTACATCATCTGAGCTGCAGTCAGTGGGAGAATAGGCAGAGACGACGAAGAGGTAACGACGAGTGTCCCTATCTTTCCGGATTCTTACTGTTCCGTTCAGTCGGACAGCGCACAAACGACTGTCTACTGGGATCCACTCTAAGAGAGCTAGTTCTGCCCTAGGACTCAATGCTATACCTACGCCGGCGAAGCCACGGGAAGCAGAATCAGGGCTTCCAGATACACGAAGCGTAAATCGAGTCGGTTCTTTATTTTGGCATGGTGAGGTCAAATGAATGACGCTACTTGGATCCTGTATGCGCGTTTCGGAGACGCAGCACACATCGATGGCGCGAGATTCTAAAGTTTTAGCTAAGGAAGCCTGCTGTCCTATCTGGCAAAGTGTTCGTACGTTAAAAGCTCCTACGTGTAGTTTAGAGCGTGGTTTCAAGAGACCAGGAATGGTGTTCCACGTACTCGAATCGTTTGCCCTAGCGGTGCGAGGTGATAAAGAGACGTGAGGAGGGTTAGTCGGGAGGATAAGAGAGGTATTAGGAGGTGTAGGAAGGATTTGAATGTGACCACCTTGGTCTCTTGTGCTGTTACGGGTATGAGGGCTGATGTCACTTCCCGGCTGCCCACACCGTGGAAGGGTATTTCTTGAGGAACCTGAAAAGGAAATTGGATTAGTGTTGGTCTTGACGACCTGGGAGCGTGACCGCAGAGCCCAAGGGACAACTGCTTGAGGCCGGTCGCGCACGGCCTTTTTGTGGAAGGTTTTTGACGTGTTAGCTCCGTTCTTCAAGGGGCCTTACCGCCGGAGACGGAAATCAGTGAGGTAAAATTAGGTGTGCATTTTTAGGGTCGACCTTTTCTAACCCCACCCCTCCTTGTGGGAAGGCAGCATCGCTGTCATGCTGGTTGTCCGAGGGAAACACCTTACTGCTGTCACACCTCTCTACAGTCAGCAGTACGACTTCGCCCTCAGACCTTGAGTTGCTGCTTTTAGTCTTACCGTTCGCCAATCGACCTGCCTGGCATGGTAGAACCTGCAGGAACATATGTTCCAGCCAATATAGCTCGGTTGGGTCATCACGATAGGCAAGCCCGACCACCGCGTCAAGGTAGCAGCTTCGATCGGGCTTATAATACCCAAGTCATCTCATATTTTTTAATAATTGCTTACATCATTTAGTACCCTCTGTCCGCTATGCACGATTTTATAGTAACTTCGTGAAAATAAATGGTATACAGTGCACCTCAACACGAGCAATTGAAACACTTAACTCGAAAGAGAATTATGTAACTTCGAATTTTAAATAATGAGAAACATGCTGAAATTGGGAACGAATTCGGTATAGTATACATTCAGAACAAGGAAGGAATAATTCCCTAGATTCTTTTTAAATATTTCCAGAGGTATTGATTAGTTGGAATACTTTCAGTTCTAAATCACTTCTGAAAAATTTTCTGAACTACCGAGGACCTTCAATGCTGACATGATTATAATACTGAATAGATAACACCCTAAATACCCTGGTAGGTGTGTGGAGATTATCCGCTCTTTCTCTCGAAACTCACCGGTTTCCAGCCTCTCCACTGATATTTCTTTTCCGATGAGGTCCCCGTTAATAATTATTGACGTGCTGTTAATGAAGGAAGCAAGTAATAGGAGTGTAAAATATCTTTTAGTAATCTGCTACTAAGTTCCGACGGGTTGCAGCCCAAAAACCAATAAAGAACATGCTCTGCCGTCAATTTAATGATGACCTCAGTGATGCACATGTAATTATCACTTTGGTGGTATTTGGAAGCCTGAATATATTAATAGATGAATAAAGGGAGCCTGCCTCTCCAATTTTGTTCAGACCACCATCTGACTAGAAGTTACTTAAACTGATCACCAGTGAAGTGAAAATCTCACTCTTCTGGAGCATCTATGCAGGTCCTAATTATGACCTTGTATGAGTTGAGCCGATTTTACTTTTTAGTGGCTTACAGACATATCGTTCTCGAAGGATCGGTACGAAAAGTTGTTTGAATATTCCGCTGCAACGAAAGACCTTATCCAAAAATATTCAAGGCTAAGACTCAATCTACCAAAAGGTATCATGTACTCTGGATCAAGTATTTTAGGAGAAATTCCAAATGGACTGTTACCATGACGTCGATTAGACTCCCTTGTGCTCCTCGATCACTGACTACCGATCCGTCGAACGAAACAGAGGCAAGCAGTGTCTAAACAACCCACGTCTATCTCTTTTTCAAGGATGGAAAGGAACTTCAAGTCAGGCAAGTGATTGAGCTGTTTAGGAAAGTATCCCACAATACTGGGATGACGCAGCCATTGATCTCATCTTTAGAAAAGCCCTATGTAAAAAGAATCGGGATATGTATCTGGGTTTCGCTTCAATGCTATTGGCCTCGCCAAACACTATGAGTTGTGAGAGATTGACTAGTAATCAGCAAGCGGGTTTTCATACAGACTGCTAGTATATTAATCACGTCTTTGCTGTTCACCAAAATAATCGCTACATCATTTAAACAGTATCCCTTGAGTAATTCAGTTCTAGAGCATACCAACTATGGAAAGAATAACTGTTGAGCACTTATTATTATCTAATATATTGAGCTCAAAGAACACACTGCGCAGAAAATCGAAAACAGACATCAAAAGAATGAATGGTAACTAGAAAGGATTGCCCAGAACAGTGTTCGATGAGAAATGCAGGTGGGCGGCCTATGCTCCTCCACGAGGGGTAACAGGCGTAAGCAATATATTAAGAGAGTGATTCAATATTGTGCAATAAACAGAAAATTAGATAGCTGCAGATTATTTACCAAAACTTCTAACATAACTGACTGTGCCACGAGTGAATTAAAGTGGTAAATAAACCAACGTTACCTAAACGTAATTTAACATTGGTAACGGTAAACTAGAGACAATTTCTGACTTGGAAAAATGACTAACGGGTTAAATCAACACATATGGATATCGTAAGTTGGATGATTCATTCGCACCTCATCAGGGGATTAACTCCAAAGACGATTTCAGTTAGACTGATCAAGTGTTTTCTGAGCATACTACAGTAATAGTTCCATAAGACTTAAGAATAAACAACAATGTATATTGACAAAATGTCCTGAAATTACATTTTTTTTCAGATGGTTTTTTATCATGTAATAAATCGGAAGACGGAATACAAGAATTATATCACTACTAGTAGAGATAAAAAAAATCAAAGACAGGAAACACACAAAAGTACACAGTTTTACAATATATATAAACAGGAGATATGCGTGAGAGTAGTTGTTTACAGGAATACCATTTTGTAAACACAATGTACATTACAAAGAGACAGAAGGGTGGAGGAAAAGATGAAAATGAGTTAATGTTTATCAATTTTTCACGTCAGAATATAATTGTAAACAAAATAATGAGGCGCATAGAAGTTTTAAATCGTATTAATAGTCATGGTAAGCCGAAATCACTGGATTATTAATAATATTATTATTCATATAGATAGTAATAATAATAATAATAATTGTGCGTGAATATTTTCTTTCGAAAATAAGAGATCCTTGTAAATTGCATCAACAAAATTGGTAAAAAAAAATTATGAGACAGAAAAAAAAATGAAAAAATCGTCATGATAAGCAGTAAAAAGACAACCAAGTAGAAATAATTTGGTCTTACACATAATCACTTCTAAACCTTTCTCTATTATCATTCCCTAATTTAATCGAATTAACCACTAAAATAGTATTGATAGCCTATAAGTTATCAAAGAGTTGAGATTATTATTGTGCGTATGAACATTAAGGTAAAGTTTTGTTTGTTTTTTTTATAAAAAAATTTATAAAATTCATGCTCATTTAGTAAACGGGTAACCTGTGTGCGTACATTTGATCATCTAGATAATTACAAATATATTCATAAAATAATAACAGAGCAAAATTAAACACAAATACAAGAAGATATGTAGTATGTAATCCTAATTGTTTTTTCTTTTAAAAAAAACGGCAAGAGATATCTCTCACTATTATTCACCAAGAAAAATCATAAGAAAATTACACAATAATTAAAAACAATCATCCATTGAATTAAAACGGGAAGAATAAAGAAATTCTTTAAGACAATTTGACATTGGAGTATTGGATAATTTATACCATGCATTTAAATTATGCGTTATTTTAGAGGCAAGTTCACGTAGTGTAGATAAAATCATAATTAAATGAGCACAACGTGTTTGTGATCCATTACTTTCACAATAACGACGTAATAATTCAGCCCATAAATTTTGTGTACGATTAACAAAGTCAATATCTAATAGATCAGAACGTTCTAAATAAATAAATATATATATGCGTAGAAAAAGAGATAAAAAAAGAAATTAGGAATAAAAGAACTTACCAAACATTAAGCAAATATACTAATTCAATTAAGTAAACTATTTCCAATTGCAAATATATCATGCTCAATGTATCCTCTTAGATAATATTTAGATAGTCATTGTGGGCGATGGCTAACGTAGCGGTCAAGGCGTTTAACTTTAAGTTACGAAGTGGTAGATTTAAACTCTGTTCTATTTAGTTTAGCTTGGGCAACCACGTAGTATCAATAGCCCATACACTTTGGGTATGGCTAAAAACTAGGTACACGGGTTTGTAATTCGTTTATGGGTTGCTAAATATTTCTACTCGCAATTAAATGTTTAAGCTATTTCTCACCTTGTTTAAACGCCCCCTTTGCTTTCGAAAAATAGACTTTTATATATTTTTACTAGTTGTTAATATTGAAGCTATATATATATATCCATGTAGTATTTTCTGATGTAGAGCTTGAGTCTTAATTTTTCTTTATTTACTTGTTTGAAGGACACATTTCGTTGTTGCAACATAGGTCCGAACGCATCAAAACTTGATGTCCATAAATCATCAGTATTTATTTATATTCCATAATAGTATAATGCTCATACACAAATCTTGTCTTTGAGTTATAAAATTATTATACTGTTAACTCTATAGCTGGCATAAAATTTACATAAGGGTTTTCTATAACTACATTTGTAACAATATTAGTTGAGAACAAGAATAAGGACACCAAATGCAGTCATTCGGTTTCAATGTAACTAATTTATCAACGACAAGTATGTAGCTTTGTGTGGGAACTCACTATTTGGGTGACATGTGTCTAGCTAGTCTCTTATTTTATAATCACGCTCAACATTTCAATTGTACAGTAAAAAATTAATTGCATTTTTATCCACTTTTATACTCGCCAGCCAAGTGAACAACGAAACCTCACACATTTTTTAATCTATAAAGTATTAATATATATGAGCTAGGTATTGTGAGGCAATGGAAATCTCATAATTTTCAACTATTCGTAAACAAATGTGTCTGATATGAAAAATTATTGTGTATACATAATTTAGCAGCTGATTACCTGGAGTAAAAAGTATCACACCAATAAGTGGTCCAAATTCCATATTTGTCAAATGTAATCGTTGAAGTCTTGAAGCAAATTGAAAAATACTTTGAGAAGTTATACTATCACAAGTCATATGTAGACAATCCAGAGAGGAATCTGTAACTACTGCATTCGGAAACCATGGACTAAATAAACAATTCAATTGATAATTTATTGATGTAGATGAAAAGTTCATATGAGTCTTGTTCCGATTTTCGCGACATAACATTAATATCTAACAAGTGAATGATACCGAAATCAAGATAAATGTAAAATAAACATGAATATTGGTAAACTATCTAATGAATTGAAGATCCTAACAATTTTAACCTATCAGGAGACAACACAGATAAATGAGTTATTATGCTTAGACTAAGAACTAAGGCATGATTATTACAAAGCTTGTATCAAAGCTGATATCAGTTCATGATGGAAAGGTTTATTCTAATTTCTGACCAGTATGATCTTAGAAGATGCTCTCTCTATTCTGATTAGTCAGGCGGCGTACGTTATGTTAACTGAAAATCCTACTGAGAAAATTATATCGGATTTTGAAAAATTTAGACTTTAAAACGCTTTTATAAATTTTAGATCATCTCAAACAATTAGAAAGAAATTCCAAGCACTAGATTTAAATTGTTTATTTTACAAATGAAGAAAATTGAAGCTATGAACGAAATTAATTACCTTACTTAACCCAAGATTAAGTTTGTTTTACCGATTTTTAACCAACCTTACTGGGATACTAATACCTCAAAGGAATAAATACTTACTATTATAAACAATGCAAGTACTTCTCAAGCATATTCATGTTAGTTTATGCAACAAAAATTATTTATTATGATCAGTCAAGAAATGTAAATTTACTAACTGTATTCAAACTATTTTAATTGAGTAAATAATAAAATAACTGAAATTATAGATAGAAAAGATTTATCCATTGAAATAACACAAATAAAAATATGCTTACAGCAAGTTCAGGCAAACAATCTCTTAATAGGATAGATTGATCATGCTGAGAAAGTCGTATGAACTGCTCTAAATGACAGGCAAATTCATGTGTAAATTTAAGTTGAGCAGGACAAAATATTTCATCCACTGTAAGAAGCTTTAATGATTCACCCAATTCATAGGGAGTATGCTTTAAAAAAATAAGGGTATTAAAATAATTAATAATAATAAAATTATTCTAGATAGAAACAAAAAAAACTGTTCACCCAATAATCATAAATATAAATGATACATACTACATAGGAATGTGAAATGTTGGAACTATGAATTATGTCCAATCACATATAGCGCAGATGTTGTAGCAAGGAAAGATACTATCTCATTAATATTATTATGAATTCATCTCATTGTATTGATACGATTAATGAATATACAAATTCAATTAGAAAAATTGTTAAATTCCTTGTAAATGAGATGCACAAACAGAAATTAAACAGAAAGAAAGTTCAAGCAGATTAATAATGACCCCGCACCACCCGGGTGGTGCGGGGTCGTGGATGCGCACTGCTGAGGAGTCCCATACTAGGACGAAACGGCCGTCCAGTGCTTCCAGGTTTTCAATGGTGGTCTAGCTTCAACTGACTCATGAGTTCAATCTGTGAAAATAAATAAATCATGTAACAACATCCGTTTTTCATAGTTCTTAACTATTTATTTTACGATAGTAAAAACTTTGAAATTTCTTTATATTACCGCTACTATTGTTCATGATTGGGATTTATGAGATAATCATATTCTATTGTTTGGGGATTTTAGAAAATATGGCTTAAAATTGGTCGTAGTGACTTAGATGTATTCATTTATTATCTTCCTCTATATATGGGCTCCGTGTTATCTTATTCGTTTTATAGTTGTTTTCTTAAAAATTTATCCTTGTTTCAATTTTAGATAACGTTGACTTGATTAGTCCGAGTGATTTTTTTACCTTTTGTCTTGTTAATTTATCTTCACCTTTGTGATATTTAGTACAACTGTGAAAAATACAAATTTGAATATTTATTCTATGGTGTGTATATTTTTGTTCATAGTCTGATGTTGAATGCTTCAGACATTTTATACCCATATAGTTATAGAAACTGGTGGTAGGACAGATATTGGTCGAGTATTCGCAGTAAAGATAACTAACACAACAAAGGTCTAAATTAATTTACATATAAATTTATCACTTGCGATCTATGTGTTCAAACTATGTGATGAAATCTAAAACTACGAACAGGGCTATTTTTCTTATAGGAACAAATAACCAAATGATAGAAATGAAATATGAATGTGCAGAGTAGTAACGAGACAAATCTATTCAAATTAGTAATTTGTAAACTAATAGAAATATTATAGTAATTTCAATGCTTGAGATCATGAGTCACTTGAAGCTAGACCACCATGCATACTCTCTTTGCGTTCTCCCTAATTTTAATCTCCTGATTCCTCCTTGTCTCTTTCTTCTCTTCTGCTTATACTCTTACTACCTCTACCACTATGGGATTTGGATCGACAATTGTATGTGTGCTAATGTGGTATGGCAACTCGAACTGATGTACGTACATACGAAGTTCTACGTTGTTACTGACTGACTGACTGATTACAAAAGTTTTCAAAATAAGATTTTTTTAAAAATCACCCATTAAACATACCTTTATGGGAGATAGATGTCTTGATAAAGATCCTGATAAGTGATAATAATCAGATTTAGAAATATTCCAACTATTCGCCTGATATTTGATAGCTTGATCTTTACAATAGTTTAAAAAACGATCAAATTTGTCTAGAGTTTGTTGATCTTCCTTAGTCAAACTGTTACTATTATCGCTATTATTATTATTACATAAGGTTAAAGAAATATTAGTAGAAGATGGTATTGATGAAGATGATGGTTGAAAATTAGTTGATGTTATTGGCATTTCGTGGTGCTTAAGTGTAGTTTCATTTAAATGTGCTTCAGATGGAGTTAAAACTACGTCTGCAGAACCTGACGAATATGCTGATGTTTCATATTTGTTTGAGGAATCTGAACTAGGCAAGGTAACTGATTCACAAGAAGACTGTTCCCGTTTTTTACCATGACGCCTTTTACGAACAGCTGTAGGTAAAAATAATAGGAATACTATTGATCAATAGAAAATATTTGTTTCTAAATGCTAAAAATAATAAGAAATAAACTAGAACAAAGAATGAAAACTGACGGAAACGGTTAACTATACTTAAGAAATGACTTATTTATACTTTGTATAGATAAAGTTTACTAAATAGCTTGAAGGTACCTAATATATCGATTGCATTTCATGTTGATTGTTCTATGACTACGACAGTGTTTATTTCTGACAGAACTACAATAATGTTAACGATTTCATGAATATAAGACATCTCACAGCTTAGTCATCCTGGGACTTTCTGAACAGTTTTAATGAATACAAAGTCTCTAGTTTTTAACCTGGTGTATTAAGCACCTGATGTAAGTAGAACAATTTCACAGCTTAACGAAGAGTAAAGGCTAAAATCACACCAATTATTATCAAGGTGGTATATTATAAACTTCCTTCTTGTTCACTTTTACCGATTAGTTTTAGTGTCACTAATCAATGCTCATTATGAAAGCTGCTAGATTAGCGCACACAGTACATATCCAAGATGCTGAAGCAGGTATTCTAACATTACATGAAATATGTTTAAGACGAGTTGATTAACCTTGGCCGCACACGTATAGTATTGCCATTAAACGTGGAAAATCTGTATTTGACAGCATTTTTGGATATCTTTAACTCAAAAAGATTGTGTTTCAAAAGTATAGAGCACTACCATGTTATGCACAAAATACTTCGTGGCCAAACTAACGTAATATCATGTAAAAAATTTATAGTCACTTGTGGCCTTCGTCATAAGGAATAACATAACTAACAAAATACACAAACTTCTTGACTATTTCCAAATACTAGTCATCAGCGTGTGTATGTACCGGTTCCTATCAGTCTTAAAGTGCTTTATAATTCAACCACGAACTAATTAAGTGCGATTTAGGTAGACAGTATGTCATCACATATTAAAAAGAATCCGTACAACCGGATTCTATTACTTTTCTTATAGAAAACATCTGGGATGTTAAGTACAGTAAAATGTAAATTTAATACAATGAATTTTTCTCTAAACTTCAACGAACAAACTAAGTAACGCGCAAACAGAAAGCGTCGTTTAGACAATTACAATTTTAAAAATTTTCACCAATTAAAATTAAATATATTTTCATTACTCTGATAATTTCTTGAAGAAGCTCAAATTAGATAAACAGATGAAGTACTATGAACCATTCAATCACAATTACTAAGATTATGCTAAAATAGTTTGTTCTTTAATAGAAATACTGAATGATAAAAATTAAGCTCTTTATAATAATCCAAAAGATAATGAGTCATAAATTTTACTAGTTTTCTGTTCAGTAATAAATAAGGCAACGAATTAAACCTCATTTGATGAATACACATGGATAAATTCTACGATAATTGAGAATTTTTCATTCTCATAAAAAATATTATTTACACTAATCACTATTAGTTCAAAGCATACAATCATATCTGCCTTTAAATACAAGAATACTATTTACAACGCTCCTATAAATATTTATTTCACATTATTTCATTCCATTTTAAAGTTTGAAATGGTATCAATTTGAGGTTGACAATCCCATCCCGTCGAAAAAACCTTGCTAAAAAATGCTAACCAGAAATATATATATTAATGATATTACACAATATTGGGGATTAGGAAAATTAATTCAGAAAATCTGGGAGTGGATAGAAAGGTAGATTAATGAATACGGTAATCAAATTCAAATGGAATTTGCATATAAGCACGTGTTTGCCCATCATACATAAATGATAAGATTATTATATATTAAACAACACAGAATTCATTCTTTAGAAAGAAAAGCAAATAATTTAGGAAATACACAGTTAACCAATCAAAATTCTGTTACTCGTAAAGTCTGCAACAAAGAGAATAATCAAAGGAGTTGAAATAATAGTACTGACAATAATGAAAAATAAAGGTTAAAAAGAGTCAATGAAATCTGGAAGTGGTTAAGATTAGTCCTAAAAAATTAGAGGGAGGTAAAAATATGAAAATGGCCATTTAATTGCAACCGGTTTTAAATTTCCACCTAAACATCTATAGTTACATAGTGTGACTCTATTTTGCGGAGTCCGTACGAGAAGTATGGACCTCCAAACATAACTTATATAAACAGTCTATAACCTCATAAAGTGATATCACTTTTGGTCTAACTGGTATAAATGAAGACTGGAATACAAATAGAATAAGATAAAAGAAGTCAGTCAGAAGCTTGAAAGTTCTTGGATAAATTGCAATTGTAAATCTTATAGGACTTAACAATAAAATATTCTCAGATGAACGTATTGCAATGCTTACCCACTCAGATTAAACTTAACTAATAATATTAGTGTTTTAACTTATAGGTTATTCAGTTGAAGATTCTCGATCCATTTTAACATATTGGTATCAATCCATTGAAAAATGAGAATCTTCGAAAATTCGACCTCATTTAGAACCAAATTTAAGCGTACTAAGGTACAAATCGAGCACAGTATCTTATAACCGAATTCCAAAACTTAATAACTTATACCTTAGTTGTATATGATAGATGATTTTCTTACATGCCGTAAAATATGCCTTCGCCAAAACATTTTATTAGTGAATTTAGACTAACCAAAATGTTAAAAACAAATAAATGGAGTCAAACTAATAAAACTAATCAATTTGAAATTTTTCCTAGAGTTACTCAACTTATTCAAATAAGCAGTATTTAAGAAAGTGGGTGAATTGGTTATCAGACTATAAAAATAATAAGAGTTCGCAAGATATTAGTCTCTCCACAAATAAATCAATAACAAAATGCATGGTGTAACACAAGTTTGAATCTCAAAATGAAATATGAATATTTTCGGATTTGTTAGTATGTCTAATTGTAGGTCACTTTCAGGAATTGGTAACCTTTTCTAGAATGACCATCCCAACTCATCCTGCGAAAGACTTGACATCAAATTAAACTATTCCGAAAGATGATGAGTTAATTTTATTAAGTGTAGTTCAGATTTGTAGAATCGGACGAAACATGCAAGAAAACAACACTAAGAAATACATTGAACGGGAACACGATAAAAGACATAATATAACGTAGATGAACAAATAACGATAATTTAATAGTTGACATCATGAGTCAATTGAAGCTAGACCACCATGGAAAAACTGGAAGCACTGGACGGTTGATAGTATGTGGGTTCGGATCACGTGGGGCGGGGATCGTGGATGCGTACTGCTGAGTCCCATACTAGAACGGAACGGCCGCATAGCACATTCAGGTTTTCCATGGTGGTCTAGCTTTAATTGACTCATGAGGTCAACTATTAAATTACTAAAATATCCACAAAACCCCTCTTTGAAAATAACGATAAATAAACAACCTACCATCTCTCGACATTCCCACAGCAATGCACTTGAGGAGTCGACATTGTTGACATTTATTACGAAGCGTTTTATTTATCTCACATGTACCATTTTTAGCACAAGTATATGATTGGTCACGCTGTATAGCACGTCGAAAGAAACCCTGAGTAAATTTTTTAATAGTGTTTTGTAAGTAGGTTATAGAAGTACCATATTTAATAAGAAAATCACAAATTTATTCACATAACTTTAGATTAAAAAGCTGTTGATTGGAAAGTGGGTTAAAACACAAAAAATATGTTAGGAAAGATTTCATTTTTAAACCATCCAAACAGTTTACAACAAGCATTATTGTGTGTCGGGGTAGACAACGAGTGGACACAAGTAGTACATATCCAAATCACCTTATGTGATGAAGATCCACGATTCTATCAACCGATTTGCCATACTTCATCAGTAGTAAATCCTTAAGTGACGTCGTTGACTATAGCCCTATTATCACCCAGTAATTTTAAATTATGTAATAGAAGCTGTAATTTACGTACAACTGAGAACGAACTAAACACCGTTATTTGAGTAACTCTGCCTGAAGCCCTTTTAGGATTAATGCCGAACTTAATCCTGGGTAAAAGGGAAGGGTTTGGTATGGGGTTAACAACAGCCCCATCCCGCAAATAAGAACCTTGGTAAAAAAACGCTAGTGAGAGGAAATCAACCATCTGATTATTAGTTTATTAATACAACATTGGACTAACAGCAGAATAAGTCAGTTTTTATTAAAGCACATTTACGTGGTGAAGGAGAACTTTAAGACAAGCCGTAAGATTAGCTTGTGATATATCTGAATATCTGTACTCAGAAGAAAAGTGCAGAACACATGAAACAGTCTTTTTGAGACGAGTTCGCAGATATATGGAATATTATTGACGACCTAACTTTTTCAAGTAGATTGTACTGGCAAAAATATAGCCCCCGAATGCCCTGGTACGGCAGAGAGTGGGGTGAGTCCGCTCTCCCTGTCGAAATACTCTCACACGGCCGCGCGTATACAGCCTCTGCCAGGGAAGTCCTACTCATTACCTTCTCGTGGCAGGAGTGTTATTTACGAAAATGAGAGGACGAAAAGCGAATGTCCGGCGCTTTAACCGGATCACAAACCAATGGTGCACATGGGCTCCAGTATCCTGCGGGAACAAATGGCGTATGAACCAATCGATGGTCACCGGCTACCATGGGATTGCATCTCCTTACGATGCTCCACTGCCTTGTGGGTTAGACCTTTAGGTCAAAGGCTCGGGGAGTGGCCCCCTAAGATAACCACCTGCTTCGGTTTGGGCACCCAGGCAGTATCGCAGCCCACACACAAACGATGAACTCTATGTCTATGGCAACCACTTTTCTCGCTCCGAAAAACAATCAGTCGATTCAAATAATTATCATTACAGTGTGGCGCATATATATTGGCGCTCTCTTGTACCTATATTCATGTGTCCAAATAAATAAATAATAAATAAATTTGCATGTCAGCTATAGAGCCTTGTATTCATATCTATTTATATCATCATCATCTGAAACACGATATAGAGTACTAGATGTATTTTACGTTATTTATGAGTAACCATTCGGTGCACGAATCTTTTATTGTCTGATGTGATTAGAATTCGTCCAACCATATTAAACTAATTATTTACCTATTTGCTTATGCTAAGTGCCTACCATTATGGGTGGTTTTATTTTTTGAAAGTAAGTTGTAATTGAAACTAATTACTGCTTGTTGCAGGAGATATGAGTGTGATTGAGCCTTAACGTTTATCACTTTGAGATGTCTGTTTTTTTAATACACATAAAAATACATTTTTTCGAGAAGTTATGAAAATCTGAATTTGACTATCTTCGGACGCACTGGACGCTTTTAAGATCAAATGAAACTCGAGTATTCAATGTATTGAAAAATAAACATAGTAGTTAGCATACCTTACAACCCTCGCATGTAGACACACCATAATGGAACCCTGAAGCTTTGTCACCACAAACTACGCACATTCGGGTTGAAACTTCAGATGATCCAGAGGACTTGCGTGTTTGGTCAACCTCTGAAATGGGGGATGTTTCTGTAAGGAAATGTAAACAGGAACTAACTAGTCAACCTCGTAAATAATCGAGTAGTGGATTATAAGCAAAGCATGTGTGAAAATTAGTGATACCAACTACCTGCCAAAACTCGAATGCTTGAACTGATAAGATACCGGTAAATAAAAGAACAAAATAACCAGCTAGCAAGAACTCAAGTATTATTTTCCCGTGAAGATCTTTGATCAACTCAGATAATTAAATACGAGATACCAAACGTTTGCGATGATGCCTTCAATAAGAGTAGTCAAGTGTACTAAGAACCATTTAGATAATCAATACCGCTGTTCTAAAGTTAACCTCCATCATACATAGATATATGGGTTCACTTCAGACTTCAATCAAGCAAATTTGATGTGGATCTTACTGGCGCTTCGTTCATTGAAACATCAGCAAAATCTTCGGGTAGGAGTGAAGTAGATTTATAGTTGCAAGAGTTTTGTGAGACTTTTAACCCTAGTTGTTGCACTTCCTTCTCTTCAAAAACATTGATAAGACACTTAAGATGATCGTAGTATTTTTCCGAAAAAACTTATCCCATAAGGTTGGTCCAGTAATGCAAACTTGGTATCATTCGAAAACGTCTAGCCATCAAATACGTCATGTAGTAGAATTTTTTTAATGTCTCAACATATCTTACAGTGTACTGCATTGCATACGACAAACCTTTGCTAAAATCTATTAGCCCACTCTCCGTTGTCCAGAACCACAAGTTCTTATGTCTGATAAGAATTCAATATACAAGTGAAATTAGCATTCTGCTTGGTTGACGTAGCAGGCTTACACTAAATTTTCTACATTGGTGATCGAAATCACGTTTCAATTCCAAAAACTGCAAGTTACCAAGACATTCATCATAGTCCTCCTGCCAGGAGACATCCTTAGTAGCATCTTAACAACAAACCTATGGTAGTGCCAGCCAAATAAAACAAGCCTTACATTATGAGGCATTTTGGAAAGCTATCCGCCATATTTCAGAGAAACCGAAAAATCTCGAATATCAACAGGCTGACAGGTGAGTAGTAATCCAGTAGTTAAAGCTTTTAACCACCGGGTTTCAGCTTTGAACTCGACTAAATGAGTTTGAGCAGTCGGCTAGTACCACAGGCTTGTATACATTGAGTGTCTTAAAGTGAATGAAACACTACTTGGTTACCGAGTTACATAAACTAAACTAAAACTAGTATTTGGATTTTAGATACAATTAAAAGCCGTTCAATAGTTAACACGATATATACAACAGGAAATTCTTACATTCTGTATATTTCCAACTGATTAACAAGTTCTCATCACGTGAATGAAAACAGATGATTGTGCTTGGAAAACGATAAATTTGGTGTATTGATTCGAGAAACTCAGTCATATATACTTGGAAACAGAGTAATGAAGAATATCCTATACTCCAAAATAAAGCGCTACATCGGCTGATCAATTATTTAAATCCATACATTTTCACATCATTTGAAGTCATATGTGTGATTACTTCCAACAACATGTTACAATACGAGACTTGGTAAATATAAACATTTAAGTATTGAGCCACCAATCTAGGAGCACGTAATTGCGTTGTCATTTATTTATGAACGTAAAATCTACTAAATATTCATACTTGAATCGCCTTTGTATAGGACAGCCCTGATTATACAAAATCTAAGATCATATATGGAAATATTTGGGAGATGAAAGCTTTAAGATGAGTGCACAAGAAAAATAGATTTTCTTCCTATAATGAGTCAATCATACAAAAAAACTTACTTGGATGGGTTTGATGTTGAGTTGTCTTCTCAGTATCTACTACAGGATAGTACTGTAATAAACTTTTGTCCTCTGAATCATCTGTTAGCATACTTTGGTTAACAGACGACTGAATACTATTATTAAGTAACTGTTTGTTACAGGAATTTGATTTATCAATTGAACAGCGTTCACTGTCACAATTAACATCAGTATCATTAAAGATATCATGTTCAGAATTTCGATCATTAATAATAGCGACAAACACTCGATCCAAATCTAACCCACCGTCTTCTAAAACAGTATGGTTCATAGAAAGTGGATGAGTGAAACCAGTTAACAAAGATTCACTAGATTGGACAGGAAGACTTGGGTTTAATGATTTTAGAGGTTGTAAAGGAGATGTAAAACATGATTGGTTGTGTGCATCTGGAGTAATAAACGTTCCAGATACAATTTCGTGAATGGCCTCCGATTTTATTGGATAAGGAAGATTGTTATCGAAAACGCCAGTGTTCTCAACGTAAGAGTGTCCCGGAACTACAGTAGGTTCTGTATCATAATATTTATTAGGAGAATAGTGTGAAAGGTGATTTGATTTATCCAAGAAAGAGCCAACACCAGGAAGAGTCGTACTTGATGACAGAGAGTGGTATGAAGGACTAGACGACTGACAATCTGCGAACGAGACACTAATAACAGAATCTGAGGTAATATAAGATATGGTATTCTGGGAATTAGGATTTGAATATTCTACAGGACAATGGCTCATCTGGTAAGATAAGGGAACTCAATAAAGCATTATTTTATCCTTTAAAATAACTAACTGCTAGGATCATAAATCAATCCTATATTCCTGAAAAGTCAAGAAAACAATAAAAATAGTGTGTTACCCAAGAGAAATGACATCCTATAAAACTTTAACCGTAAACTAAAAGTTATGAAAGAGCTTATAATGTATTCTAGCTTGAGAGGTAGAACTTGAATATCAGAAATTGCTAAACTATGAGTGAGACACTGTTTGCAACTTTGAATATAATCACGGCAGAAATGACTGTTGGTTTCACGACATACTCCAAACACCAGGTTAGCTCAGGGTGAAAACCTACCTCACGCTCCTTTAGTAAGCCAAAATGTTACTTAGGTAGTCTTTATATTGCCACTTATCAGAAATCAGTGGTTTCCTTGTTATTATTTTGCGTCTTGCAATATATAAAATAATATGGACTTACACCTAGAGGTGGTTCGAGTCTATGTAACCTTACAATGAGTCTTTTAAACATTGCTTCAACGCTGAAGTTGTTATAGCTTTTACTTGTCCACGGCTTGAGTTGTAAGTTGGCACTTTAAACAATTTCGTCGTTTTGGTTTAAAACTAGCAAGTTTAAAATGCGGTTCTCTCTCTCCAAATGTAAAATATTACTTCAGTCAGTCAGCTACAACGTAGGACCAGGCACATATTTGCATCGATCCAAGATGCCATACCTCAATAGCACAACAAAATGAACACCAATTTCATAGAAGCAGTTACTTCAGTGGTGGTAAAAAAAGATTTCATATGAGTATATGATACATGGAGAAAGAATTAGTTCACAGAATGATATAAAGTGATTTTAATCTTACAGTGTAAGGGAAAACAAAGAGTGTATAGACCTACGTAATTGTGACCGATTCCGAACCATATCAACCAGCCTCCAACCAAGTAGTCTCTATCCACCAACATGACTCATGCCAGAAGTTAGTAACTTTACGGGCTGATGCGACGTTCTGGTTTGGCCGTCCCTAACTTTCATCCGTCTTCAAAATATGTTACCTTAGGACTAGCCTGCAGTAGCGCCTGAATAAATGATAGGGAGTGAACCAGTTGAGTACTTTAACCGATTCACTTAAGATTCTCATTAGTCTTGATGGGCTGGTGTCTTAAGAAACCTCAACATGCATTCAGAAATCCCAGTTGGCTTACGCCGACTCGCATCACTCGTGGCGTAGGCCAGATATTAGTTTGCCAACTAAGTGATCAGTATGTTGCTCAACAGTTTATTCTGTTGTAGCTCTAAAGTTTTCCTTTGAAACTTGAGGACATTCGTAGATTACTAATGTCTGATCATAGGTATTTTAAAATCACTGCTCGTATATTTTAGGACCATCAAGGTTAGATGCATAGTACTAGGTAAGGACGAAAAATTGGTTGGTGAGGCAGTAAATCTTTATTACCCGAGGTGATTAGGATATGTGTTACTCATGCCCAACCACCACCTACAACGATGTTCTTTGTAGGAGTAGGTTGGAAGAAAACTAAGGGCGACCACAATAAAACCTGTCACTAAACAATGAAGTCATCGACAATTAGATCGAGCCGTGTCAATAAGTATAGACTAACTGGTTGGGGTCCGCGTGATTTCCGTGACCAGTGGTTAGACTTTAAATGACACGGCTCAAAATTGTTTGGAATGGCACAGGTGCATCTATTCTTTGTCTGAGTCCTTCAGAATTTTTTCATTGCACCAGTATGTTTTCTTGCCGAACCGCATCCTTGATGACTAAACTTTACCATTAACACTGATACTGTTACTACCTCTACTGCTCTGGTATTTGTCCTGACAATCTCATATCTCTGTACTAATTAGGTATGGCAACTTGGACCGATGTGTATACCTACCAGGTTCTACGTAGCGACTGACTGTTAAAACAATGTAGGGTAAGACGTTAGGACAGTATGTAAAGCATAGCAAACGAAACTAGAGAACAAGGGTAGCTTGCAAGTAATAAGCCACGTGCGTTTGTGAAATACTTTGTACATACAGCCGAGACACCGAGCAATGCCGATGTTAAGCCGCTGTAAGAACAATAATCGGTTGCTTGAAGAGTTTGAAGACAAAAGTGGGTTATTAGCTACAATGTGTTACTTAGAATCCCTGGCAAATAACAATTTTTTCTTCCCTAGGAGTCTGACAGAAATAAAAATTTACTGATAGTTTCTCTTGTTTTTAGACAAAAAATCTAAAAGATGTTATGTCGCGAAAACTAACAATCATGTTAGCATCAGTGTAAGTCTTTTTCTTTAAAAAACCACGTGTGACTAACTTTGGCGGAAACTTTCCAGAAAGGTGGAATAAAAGCATCCCGCCTACAACTGAGTAGACGGAATTGCATGAATTACAAACATTGTACAAACTAGTATGTTTTCTGTTACTGTCTAAAATTTTATTTTCGTTATTAACAGATAATACAGCTGTAATAACTTTCTCAACTATATGTGCCTTCATCATCTACCTGTGCAGAAGTATAATTCACCGGTTCGATTTGCTTAACTGGGCTAAGATTACCTAACAAGCCTGCTTAAATTTATCTCCGAAACCAGTTCTCATTCTCAATTATCGGAATAATGAAGAGGCATACAATCCTAACAAATACATCACAGAAATGCATGTGTTATTAATCCACACAATATCTTACCTCCAAATCTATGCAGCCTAACCAAGTCGAATGGTTGCCGCTACAGACTCATTCGAACATTACCAACCTAAACAGTAATTCAGTGTCGTTGTCTTTAGTCAGACCGATCATTTAGTACAGACAACTAAAAATAGCCAATCATATTTTAGCCTGATTCAATGTTTACTTATTAGTCACTCCTTACTTTGCTGTAATTGGCTTATTGTGTAAATTTACCTTTGTCGTCAGCTTAGTCATTGGTCACGTGTTTTCTATCATTTATCGAATTTGATTTTGGGTGGCCTGATAGGTTATGTTAATACAGACACCATTGGCTCTTCCCCAAAGACATTGAAGCGAAGCCTGTCATGGTCTTAATATTTTTCCGTACCTTGTTTCCAAGTTGAAGTTCTTTCAATTGAATCCATCTTGTGGTGATAATAACAATCCTTACATCTGTCTTGATATCGAGAATAACTTTTTTTCCTTTTGACCCATCGATAAAAAATATCTTTTTCAAGTCACAAAATTGGGACGCGAGAAGGCTTCTGCACTAAAGCTAGTTTTTAATCAGCTCGGACATATTAACTGTAGTTTAACAAATATTGGGGTTCATGTGGGTTATAAAACTTTGTTTTGCCTCTAAAAAGATATCTAAACATTGATTTACGCCCCAGAGTAAGCTGGTCGTTAATATGTATTCAGATCGTGGTAGGAAATCTTGCTCTAACCCCACTATCATACAGTACTCGAAGACCAGGAGTAATAAAATAGATATTAACCTGAGCAAATCAAGTTTGCGTAAGATTTCATATGTGAACCTCAAAATAACCAGGCCTTTTCTTGGTCGACTGTATCTTCCTCTATCTTCGCCATTGTTATCTATTCTTTCTATTTATATCCGATTGGAGAATTTCCACAAATCATCAAAGTAAATTTCGTTTAGTTTATTCAATTAGTCACCAGAATCAAACATGATTATTTTTGTCAGATACTTTGTTGGGTTTGTTAGGTTTGTTTGGTTAAGGTGAGCAAAATGATAAGTTACTAATAGAAATGAACTCTAAATCCTCACTAGACAGGTTTCTGAAGACATTTTGAACCAATAGATACTTCATTGTTGGAGTTTATAACTTTCTGTAGTTCCTGTACTGTCCTATCTTATGTATGTTTTTTCCTGCTGATTGATGCTTCGATATGATAATGAATCGTGGTTTTGTATCACTCATCCCACTTTGTCTAATGGGTAGCTAACCTAAATCATTGAACTCATTACAAAGTTCAAAGCATAAGTACTGGATTTGAATTTTATTGGGAACAGAAACAAGTATATACATGAATCTAATAAACATAAAATATGAAATTCTAAATCTCACTGATATTAAACTCCAAATTTAGTCTGAGTAATTTGGTATACTACAGCATCCTGTAATAAAAAATTGTCGAGAGTCATCCATCTTGGTGTAAGATTTTTCTCTAATCTCTCTTCTTCTTTTCATGTTTTATTGTTATCAAAAGAAGTTTTCCGTCTGACTTATTATATAAAGAGGCCATATATTTTGGCATCACTCGTCATTTACTTTTACGACTTACAAATTATTTGATATTGCCTATTAATTTTTACTGTTTCCCATTATTCTTTCCCGGGCTTTTAAGGAGAGATTTTGATGAGAGTGCTGAAGACAGTTAACAATTTGTGCTGAATCTTTTGAGGTCATTAGGAATACGGTTCTGGATAGACATTTAGAATTTTGCAAACTCCTGGCAAGTATTATCTTATCAGAAAATAACCGTCTACTTCATCTACATCCTTCTCCTTGTATACCTTCTGGAAGAACGAGACGTCAATACATTAAAATCCACGCTCTCAAGCAAAAATATAAAAGTTCTACAATACCTTATCCAGTAAGCACACACTGTGATGAACAGTTTCTAAGAGCTGACCTAGCCTGTATTCTTAAACATGTTTCTGATTAAAACTTGTAGAAATTCTTATCTTATTAAAAAACATTTTACTTAATTCCAAGTAGTTTATTTACTTAATTCATGAATACCTGTATGCAGTTACTGGGTTTTTTAATCTCGTTTTGTAAATGGAATCTGTCGAAATACCTTGTTCTGAGATTTCCATATTGTACTAAAAATATAACGTTAACTAAAGCCATTAATAATAGTAATAACAATAATAATAATAACCCCCTAAACATTTGGTTTTATTAGACATCTAGGCTTTCAAGTAGACTACTCTTCTCAAAGAAGCATGAAATTATGCCAAATTTCTCAGAAATTGGTAAACATTCATATGTTTTAAAAAGTTTTAAAAAAACCTAGTTATTTAGGTACTGCACATAGATTAAAATGTCATTATTGTGTACAACGCTTTCTGCTTATCCATTACGTGTCAAATAGCTTACAATCGTATTTAATACGATTGTCACTACACAATAACTTGATGAAAATTCAAATAATGTTCGCTCGCTAATTTCACTCTTTGCTTCGTTGATGATTTATTATCAATATATGTTTATATATTCCTTAGAATATTTGTCTAAGTATTTATTAATTTCATCTACACTGTTGTTGACTTCAACTCATTTTAATGTCACGTTGATAGTATTGAGGATTAACTTCAGATGACAAAGTTTATGATATAAATAGGTAGTTTGACCCGAGTCAAATGAAAATCTGAGTCTCTAGATATTTCTAGGTTACTAGCTGAGTGATTTACTAAATAAACTGGAAAACTGATCCATTAATCAGATTACAGTTACTTCACTGTAAAGATTTTTTTTAATGACTTCACTACAATGATTAATATAAATATTTCTTTTTAAAAAGTGAAAACGTCCTTATTATAAATGATATTATGATATCTAATTTCCAGAATTAACGAAAATTTGTCATTTAAATATTTAAAGTTGTCAATGTGTATTCCATTTTATACAGAGCGGCTGATGATCTAACCTAGTAACCACTGCTTAACTAAGCTTTTATAAGTACCAGTACCTATCAGTGAAATGCTATTGATATCTAAAGAGTGTAAATCATTTCACCAAATAGTGTAGTCATAGATATATTGATTTACTTTATTGAAGTCTATAATGAATATTTCTTTTTGTCATCTTGAAAATGGTCGATATCACGTATCAATAAGTGCTGTTCCAAATATATAACTTATTGCTTCCAACTTGAAAACTTAAATGATTAAAAAAATAAACTTAATGAAAGGGCAATAATTTATTAAAAATGAATGATTGACATAACCAATTATGTAACCATGACCAAAATTAATAGAAATGAAAATAACTTTTTAATATTCATTTTATGTAACAGAATTAGCTATTAACAACGCTCAGTAGTATGTTACTATTTGAATACAACTCATCATTAGCCGAAAATCTAAATAAACCTAATTATTACAAATACTATGTATAGAGTATTCATCTATTCGTTTTACTGTAATAATGAAACAAAAGTAGGAAAAAAAGACAAATGTTTCATCTTAATGTAAACCTAATTTAAAGTATGATTAAGATGTACGTCTATACAGTTTAACTCAATTTATAAAGTCCCCAAACAATAATTTGAATTTCACTAGTTCCAACTTGACTACAGCCCATATGTTTTCTCTTGAATTCAATCATCAGTAGGATGTAAATGGTTTTTATTATTTGAGAATATTCTTAGGATTCTGGACTCTAGAAATAAGAAAGCTAGGGTAAACTCTAAGATACTAAAATGAAGCAGTACTTGTAATATTCATGTAGATAAGGTTATCCCGAATTTGCAATCGTGATTTCTAAGAGTTTGAATCACACATTGAATTATGTTTTTGAAATGGTTTAAGTTTTGTGAATTATTTAGGTTTGAATGACATTACGGAGCTCATTCTACCAAAGGATTCAAATAGTTGAACACAATTGATTGATATCTGAGAATTTTTCTGGGCCACTGAAAATACTTTAAACATTGAAAACCGTTAAGCTTGTTTGAGACTATTTAGTTCGGTGACATACTTATTGTGTGACTTAGTAGTATATTTCTTCAGCTTACCATTACAACTTATAATATTAATTACAGGCTGATACTACATTTAGGCGGTTCGTGGTTTCTTCATCTAAGGAAAACTCTGATTAGGATCACATCATTTCCGAATAATTTATAACTTAGTTTTTTAGTGCAAGAGCTTGACAGTTAATTGGACTAACGAGCACGAAATATTTTGTCATGACGATATTTGCAAATCTACTGCTAATTTTTTTCCATAAAGGTCTGTTGTTTCGAATTCTTTATATTTAAGATTGATTTACTCATCCTATTTCTCCATATGGATTCTTTAAGCGGATGTTTCGATATTAGCGTGTTAACACATGTTGACTGTATATTTTAATGATAAAAACGAGAGGGATTCAGAACATACTTCATTCTATATGATACTCGGCATTTGGAGATGACTATTAACTAATCAGTGGACATAGTAAATCAGCAGCTTATTTTTATAACTCTTAGAGGTTTAATTCATGGTTAACAGTGGGAGGCATGAACATCAAACAAATAAATGTCGAATTGGACGAAATCCATGTCTTGGATTCTACTACTAATCACTTTCCTTGTTGAACATATTTATCATAGAATATTTTCGTATTGATTGTAGAGGCTGATGATATGCCAAGAAAGTTAGAAACATACGAAAATACTTTTTGGATGGATTTCTATTAACTGGAGAATAAATGAAAATAAGGGAGCTCTGAAGAATTATTCCATTATACTTTACAAATTCTAGTCGTTATGATCCCATAATCTCATATGAAGATAAATTCTTGACTCTCAATTCTCGTGTCTATTAGTTTGACTTTATTTTTTGTGACTAGTCATCAATGGCATTTTTAGTACTTTGATTTTACTAGGAGCGAGCACTAATCACCGTGAAATCATCGTTATAACAATTCAGTGCTGCTCTTCGTAGTAAGTGGTAAAATTCGAAATTAATCAACCATAGATCGTTGATTAGTTCAAGATGAGTTACATTACAGATTCAGTTGCCTTTTAGTAATTTATGCAACTCAAACTGAATTAGAAAGAGTGAG